TCATGTAGACTGGCACCTGAGACAACAGATCACGTCCTCCAAGATGTGTTCATGCAGACTGGCACCTGAGACAACAGATCACGTCCTCCAAGGTGTGTTTATGTAGACTGGCACCTGAGACAACAGATCACGTCCTCCAAGGTGTGTTTATGTAGACTGGCACCTGAGACAACAGATCACGTCCTCCAAGGTGTGTTTATGTAGACTGGCACCTGAGACAACAGATCACGTCCTATAAGATGTGCTCAAGTAGACTGGCACCTGAGACAACAGATCACGTCCTCAAAGATGTGCTCATGTAGACAGGACCTGAGACAACAGATCACGTCCTCCAAGATGTGTTCATGCAGACTGGCACCTGAGACAACAGATCACGTCCTCCAAGGTGTGTTTATGTAGACTGGCACCTGAGACAACAGATCACGTCCTCCAAGGTGTGTTTATGTAGACTGGCACCTGAGACAACAGATCACGTCCTCCAAGGTGTGTTTATGTAGACTGGCACCTGAGACAACAGATCACGTCCTCCAAGATGTGCTCATGTAGACTGGCACCTGAGACAACAGATCACGTCCTCCAAGATGTGCTCATGTAGACTGGCACCTGAGACAACAGATCACGTCCTCAAAGATGTGTTCATGTAGACTGGCACCTGAGACAACAGATCACGTCCTCCAAGATGTGCTCATGTAGACTGGCACCTGAGACAACAGATCACGTCCTCAAAGATGTGTTCATGTAGACTGGCACCTGAGACAACAGATCACGTCCTCCAAGATGTGCTCATGTAGACTGGCACCTGAGACAACAGATCACGTCCTCAAAGATGTGTTCATGTAGACTGGCACGTGAGACAACAGATCACGTCCTCCAAGATGTGCTCATGCAGACTGGCACCTGAGACAACAGATCACGTCCTCAAAGATGTGCTCATGTAGACTGGCACCTGAGACAACAGATCACGTCCTCCAAGATGTGCTCATGTAGACTGGCACCTGAGACAACAGATCACGTCCTCCAAGGTGTGTTTATGTAGACTGGCACCTGAGACAACAGATCACGTCCTCCAAGATGTGTTCATGTAGACTGGCACCTGAGACAACAGATCACGTCCTATAAGATGTGCTCATGTAGACTGGCACCTGAGACAACAGATCACGTCCTCCAAGATGTACTCATGTAGACTGGCACCTGAGACAACAGATCACGTCCTATAAGATGTGCTCATGTAGACTGGCACCTGAGACAACAGATCACGTCCTCCAAGATATGCTCGTGTAGACTGGCACCTGAGACAACAGATCACGTCCTCCAAGGTGTGCTCAAGTAGACTGGCACCAGAGACAACAGATCACGTCCTCCAAGATGTGCTCATGTAGACTGGCACCTGAGACAACAGATCACGTCCTATAAGATGTGCTCATGCAGACTGGCACCTGAGACAACAGATCACGTCCTCCAAGGTGTGCTCATGTAGACTGGCACCTGAGACAACAGATCACGTCCTATAAGATGTGCTCATGCAGACTGGCACCTGAGACAACAGATCACGTCCTCCAAGGTGTGCTCATGTAGACTGGCACCTGAGACAACAGATCACGTCCTATAAGATGTGCTCATGCAGACTGGCACCTGAGACAACAGATCACGTCCTATAAGATGTGCTCATGCAGACTGGCACCTGAGACAACAGATCACGTCCTCCAAGGTGTGCTCATGTAGACTGGCACCTGAGACAACAGATCACGTCCTCCAAGATGTGCTCATGCAGACTGGCACCTGAGACAACAGATCACGTCCTCCAAGATGTGTTCATGCAGACTGGCACCTGAGACAACAGATCACGTCCTCCAAGGTGTGCTCAAGTAGACTGGCACCTGAGACAACAGATCACGTCCTATAAGATGTGCTCATGCAGACTGGCACCTGAGACAACAGATCACGTCCTCCAAGACTGTCCCAAGTACAGCATATCAAGGCAAACCTTTGGGCAAGAGAAACATAGTTGCAAGCCACACTTTACGGGCCGCTGAGGGAACTGCTGAGGTTTAAACCAGAGACAAGAATGCAGACACAGATAATTTATTTCAAGCTAACGAAAGAAGAACAGAAGTCATCATATCATCATATAGCAGGTCCCTTGCAGAACGTCGCTCCCATCACGGTCTTCGTGAATTTAATTCGGTCTCTCACCATCTTTCCAGTCTCTTGTCCTTTCATACTGTGCGTGGATTTGTATTATGGTATGTTGCTTCGCAGGTCGAAAAATGGGTATCAGGATGTATGTCCTGTGGAAGTAAAAACGACCGGCGCAATGCTGATCACATTACCCACCTAATACCTATTGGTCTTTACAAAATATATGTGCTTTTTCCCTTGCCCGATGCGACTAAAGGCGGGAAAAGGGATGTTTACTTTTTGCTGTCCTTACTTTATCTACGTTCCTTTTAGGATTTTTTTTTACGCTCTCGTTCCCCTTACCATCCATTTGTTCTCTCTTCTGAGATAGAATCTTGTCCGATAAGAGTGATGAATTAATGAGAAAAAAACATTTACGCAGTGAAAAGTTGTTTTACATGCTGGTCATCGAATTTTATGTTGATAAACGTAAAAAAAAAAAAAAAAAAGTTCATCCGCTCTCTAGGTCACCAGAATCACGGATCAGGTCAGTGTTATTGTCTTCTTAATACTTTGTGGCCAAGACATTCAAGTATTTATCTCGTTACCTTTCACTGGCTACTTTCACATAAAGTTTGCCAGTTGTTACCCATTTCTTATTTTATTCTTAGTTTTGTTCGCAGATATTATGACTTAAAATCTTTAAAGAGGGTAATTTGAAAATACTTTCCTTGTTGGCATGAACAATGTTAGTCAGTCAATAATGGCAACTGCCAACAACATGAACACAAGAAGGAACAAGAACAACAGGAAGAACAACAAGTCATTGACTTAGTCATACGTTAAAACAGTAAAACAAAAACCACACGTTAAAACACCGAAACAAAATAAGTCACACGCTCAAACACTGAAACAAAAAAGCCACACCTTAACAAACTGAAACAAAAAAAGCCACAGGTTAACACACTGAAACAAAAAGCCAAACGCTAAAACACTGAAACAAAAAAAAAAAGCCACACATTAACACACTGAAACAAAAAAGCCACACGTTAACACACTTTAAAAAAAGCCACATGTTAACACACTGAAACAAAAAAGCCACACGTTAACACTGAAACAAAAAAGCCACACGTTAACACACTTAAAAAAGCCACACGTTAACACACTTAAAAAAGCCACACGTTAACACATTGAAACAAAAAGCCACACGTTAATACGCTTAAAAAAAGCCGCACGTTAACACACTGAAACAAAAAAGCCACACGTTAACACACTTAAAAAAGCCACACGTTAACACACTGAAACAAAAAAGTCACACGTTAACCCACTAAAACAAAAAAGCCACACGTTAACACACTTAAAAAAGCCACACGTTAACACATTGAAACAAAAAGCCACACGTTAACACACTTAAAAAAAGCCGCACGTTAACACACTGAAACAAAAAATCCACACGTTAACACATTTAAAAAAGCCACATGTTAACACACTAAAACAAAAAAGCCACACGTTAACACACTGAAACAAAAAAGCCACACGTTAACACACTTTAAAAAAAGCCACATGTTAACACACTGAAACAAAAAAGCCACACGTTAACACTGAAACAAAAAAGCCACACGTTAACACACTTAAAAAAGCCACACGTTAACACATTGAAACAAAAAGCCACACGTTAACACACTTAAAAAAAGCCGCACGTTAACACACTGAAACAAAAAATCCACACGTTAACACACTTAAAAAAGCCACACGTTAACACACTGAAACAAAGAAGTCAGACGTTAACCCACTGAAACAAAAAAGCCACACGTTAACACACTTTAAAAAAAGCCACATGTTAACACACTGAAACAAAAAAGCCACACGTTAACACTGAAACAAAAAAGCCACACGTTAACACACTTAAAAAAGCCACATGTTAACACACTAAAACAAAAAAGCCACACGTTAACACACTTTAAAAAAAGCCACATGTTAACACACTGAAACAAAAAAGCCACACGTTAACACTGAAACAAAAAAGCCACACGTTAACACACTTAAAAAAGCCACACGTTAACACACTTAAAAAAGCCACACGTTAACACATTGAAACAAAAAGCCACACGTTAACACGCTTAAAAAAAGCCGCACGTTAACACACTGAAACAAAAAAGCCATACGTTAACACACTTAAAAAAGCCACACGTTAACACACTGAAACAAAAAAGTCACACGTTAACCCACTAAAACAAAAAAGCCACACGTTAACACACTTAAAAAAGCCACACGTTAACACATTGAAACAAAAAGCCACACGTTAACACACTTAAAAAAAGCCGCACGTTAACACACTGAAACAAAAAATCCACACGTTAACACACTTAAAAAAGCCACACGTTAACACACTGAAACAAAGAAGTCAGACGTTAACCCACTGAAACAAAAAAGCCACACGTTAACACACTTTAAAAAAAGCCGCACGTTAACACGCTGAAACAAAAAGCCACACCTTAACAAACTGAAACAAAAAGCCACACGTTAAACCACTTGCGTGTTTTTTTTTTTTTAGTTTTAATTTGTTAAATTTTATTGCCACTGCTACTTAATAAAAATGTATATTCATTTACATCAGTAATTTATTTTACTCTTTTCATTCACAAATTACTCCTTCGTGCATCGTATGTGCCAACCGATGGACTCCCTTTGTGAAGAAATGAATGAAATGGTGAATATATTGATGACCAAAGAATGTTGAAACGGACAATTGGCATGAAAGTCGGTGTAGCGTAGTAACTATTCATAAAAGCAGCCATAATCCTTTCCTTCGGCTGCGTTGAGATCAGCGCTCTCTGAAATATGACATTGTCAGCCCAGCATTGATGATAGTTAAAAGATGTTTAAATGGTTGTCTTTGATTGAACTTTCGGAGAGCTACTACTACTTGCTATCTGACTGGAACTTCTGTGGCCCAGGCAGGTAGGAGGGGCTTTCTGGAGCAGAAAGCGGGTTCCAATCTCATCTGTTGATTGCTGGGAATGAATAAGACATGTTATTAGTGTCCTTAATGAAGAAAATATGGGCTTTTGAACTGAAATGCTAAAGAAAGTTTCTCAGAATTCCATGGAAAACAAATACTGATATTCTAAAACAGCTGAACATCACGGAAGATTGGCTAGAAGACAGCATCTTGTCTCGGAAACTGAAATATTTAGGCCATATCAAGCACCACGGAGGTTTAAAAAAAAAAAAGCAACAATAGCACAAGTCCTGGTTACAGGAGTGAGAGGCAGGGGCCGACCATTGCGAAGAATGGTACGATAACCTTTTACATAGCAACCCAGACAAGAAGAACTAATCGATCGATGGAACCTACAACGGTCTCTGACCTGGTCTCAGAAAAAGTTCCAGCTATATTTCTTTGCTGTATTATCAAATTCTTACGGACTCAAGTGGCACAAACATTATACGAGTTAAAGACAATAGATAACAAAACAGACAACTTACGGCGATTCTGTTGACTATGATGTAGAAAGCTTTCCAGCCCTTCTTGTCCACGATATCCATCAGACCTGGCGTCACAAAGTAGGGCAGATTGCTGGACAGGAAGTGTCTCTTCCAGATAGAGTTATCTTCACAGAGCTGAAGGTTGAAGTTACACAATTCAGTCGCCACTGGAGCTGGTGGAATTAACCCTGAAAAATCTATGTACTTTTGTGTTGTGGCTGATGTGTAGTATATTTATGTGCTTTTGTGCTGCATCTTCGACAGTGATTTTATGTGATGGCAATTATTCTCTGGGCAAAGATTAGAGAGATGGGAGAATTCTTGCTTTGATTAAAAGAGGAACGGTAATTAAAACAATAAAAATGTTAAGAGGACGAATCCGCACATTTGGGATATGGAAAGTAGGATGAATATAAAAGAAACAGTTTATACAGACATAAATTTGTGATAGGAGTTGCAAAAAAAGAGACCGTAAGCCAGAGCTCTGACAACGTCGACGACAGGCGAAATAATAATAATTATAAAGACATTGCAAACCAATCCTAGCATTTAAAAGCTGCCATGTGGTTTTATATTTTTCAGTAGTTTGGCATTATTCTCTGTACGTTACGACATGCTCATCATTATCATCATCAACATGTGGCTGCCAACTGGCGTAGGCGCTCATGCGTCTCCACAGATCACTATCCCTAGTTGACTGGAACATCTCTCATGATGATATCCCTCCATGAGATCGTTTTAGCCCATCCAGCATCGTCTCTCTTGGTCTGCCTCTACCCCTTTTTCTACTGATCTGTCCAGTTGCCACGATGTTCTCCAGTGTCTTTCTTCTCATTATGTGGCCAAATAACAGTGTTTGTCTCTTTCTTAATGTTGTATACTACAACTACTTTCATTAGCTTCTTTCAAGCAATCGTTGTTAGTTACTCTGGCCGTCCAAGGTATTCGCAAAATTCGTCTCAGAAACCACATCTCTGTTGCTTCCAAATTCTTCTTAATTTGTTCAGTGACATTCCAAGATTCGCTGCCATACATCAGAACAGGTTTTACGTAACAATTTAGCACCCTCTTTCTGGCATTAAATGAGGGCGATTTATCGCATATTTTTCATTTTCTGAAATGCAGCTTTCGCTTGACCTATTCTGCTTTTAATCTCTGTCACACATTTTCCATCTGATCATATGATTGTTCCCAGATATTTAAATTATTGACTTGATTAAGTCTTTTTCCTTCAACTGAGATATCACAAAGTGACGACATGCTCAAGTTGTTAACATCGGGCCGTAACGGCCTGCCGCAGAACCGGCAAAGAAATTCAGCGTCCTGTGATCATGAACGCTGGAGTTTCCACATTTCTTTCACATTTTCCAGACACTGACTAGCTGAACTTTGGCAGTTGAAGACTTGTATCTTCACAGGGTGTGCTTATTATAACTTGTCTTAAGATTGAACAGGGTATGTGGAATCTACCCCACTGGTTTGCCATCATATTGAGATGCTTTGGTCTCAGGAATTTCTGGAGACGTCAAGGAGAGAGAGACGAGCTGGAAATATAAAACATACAATGATATCGTTTTAACTAAGAGCATGATGCAGGTTTGGGTTAGTAGGAACGATAGTATCAATGCAGCGCAGAGTCGTTGACACTGACGACTTTCTGATGCTAGCCTGACTACATGAGCTCGGAGTGAAGCTAGCCATGCAAGTCCACAATATTGTAGTTGTCAGGTGTGCCCTAATAATAACGTCTTTGGAAGTTGAATAGGTTTTGTGGGATCCTTGCTGGTCAGCCTTCCTGAGATTTCATAACTTCAGAATGGTGTGGTCAGCTTTTATTCAACAACCCAGAGGGGACAAACTGTTTGATCGATCTCCTGTTGATTAGGTTCACCGTACCCCAGAGGGGACGAACTGTTTGATCGATCTCCTGTTGATTTGGTTCACCTTACATCAGAGGGGACAAACTGTTTGATCGATCTCCTGTTGATTAGGTTCACCGTACCCCAGAGGGGACAAACTGTTTGATCGATCTCCTGTTGATTAGGTTCACCGTACCCCAGAGGGGGACAAACTGTTTGATCAATCTCCTGTTAATTAGGTTCACCGTAAACCAGAGAGACAAACTGTTTGATCGATCTCCTGTTGATTAGGTTCACCGTACCCCAGAGGGGGACAAACTGTTTGATCGATCTCCTGTTGATTAGGTTCACCGTACCCCAGAGGGGGACAAACTGTTTGATCAATCTCCTGTTAATTAGGTTCACCATAAACCAGAGAGACAAACTGTTTGATCAATCTCCTGTTAATTAGGTTCACCGTAAACCAGAGAGACAAACTGTTTGATCGATCTCCTCTTGATTAGGGTCACCCTGCACCGCTACCCACAGGACATTAACGTTCTTTTTACCTGGTGAAAGTGTCTGGATGTGGCGCTGAGGCGCAGCGTGGAGCAGACATCTAGGAAGCTGACTATGTACAGCTGAAGCTGGGTGTCCAGCTGGTCCAAGTAGTTGAATTTGCCTTCCAGCAGGTTGTCGAGAAACTCTAGCTCCCCTCTCAGCCTGGATTGTATGGCATCTGCGAACAGGAATTTACAAACTCCGACTCAGTCTCTAGTCATGTGGTTATTTGTCTTAAAGACCATGCCGTGTGGCGTTGGTAGTCATGTCTATCCACTACCTTCTTGTAGTCTGTGCCGTGTGGCGTTGGTAGTCATGTCTATCCACTACCTTCTTGTAGTCTGTGCCGTGTGGCGTTGGTAGTCATGTCTATCCACTACCTTCTTGTAGTCTGTGCCGTGTGGCGTTGGTAGTCATGTCTATCCACTACCTTCTTGTAGTCTGTGCCGTGTGGCGTTGGTAGTCATGTCTATCCACTACCTTCTTGTAGTCTGTGCCGTGTGGCGTTGGTAGTCATGTCTATCCACTACCTTCTTGTAGTCTGTGCCGTGTGGCGTTGGTAGTCATGTCTATCCACTACCTTCTTGTAGTCTGTGCCGTGTGGCGTTGATAGTCATGTCTATCCACTACCTTCTTGTAGTCTGTGCCGTGTGGCGTTGTTGGCTATGTCTATCCACTACCTTCATACAGTCCATTTAGTATGCCTTCGGAAGTCATGTTTAATCAAAACATTCTGTCTCAAGTACTTTCAATCATTTATTTTAAGACAAATTATTTCCCATGCCACGATGTCAAACGGTCCAGCATCGTCTCTTGTGGTCTCCTTCTGCCCCCCTGCACCTCCAGCTGTCCCATCGCCACAACCTAGTCTTTCGGGGGTACAGAGACGATTAAATATAGAGGTTTTGAGAAGATTTTGGGGGGTGGGAGGAGGCCTGGTGGACATAGGTGTGGACTCAAGAGAGTTGGTCGAGACAATATCAAACGAACACACAAAACAGTCATTTAAACAAAAATTACTACAAATATTTCAATCTTCTTGAAACAACAACAACAAATTAAAAAAAAAATTGTGAAAGCTTGTGAGAAAGGAAACTTTGATTAAAGACGCAAGAGGTAGACAGCGATATACCTGGGGGTAACACTAAGTGATGGATGAACAGCAGTATCATAAAGAGAGTACAAACAGTGCAAGAGACAGGTCATGCTGGAGATCTGCTGCAGTCAACCTTCACTGTAGGGACTGTACGTCACTGATCTTAAAGCATGTGGTGAAATCCCTTTGTGCTGATCAACTTATGGTACCGTGCCTTTCGTTATTATTCTTTGCAAATCCAAATGGAGTTTCATATTAACAAGCATTTCCGTTTTCGAGACTAGATTCTGTTTACTAGCTATTCATCTTTGGTGTTAACACTTTTGATGTTGCCAGTATTTCTCATCTTCTTTGTTCATTGTTTTCTGAGAATTTTTCACCCAATTCAGCTCAAAGTCCTCTATTTTCTTGCGAGAAAGTAACAGACCACGAATGAAAACGTTTATCCGAATCCCTCTTCGAATCACGGTTTGTGTGACATGACATTTCTCTCTGATTTTTTGTGGACTAAAGATTGGAAACCGCACATTCAGGGAGCTTCTTCACCCCGACCGAAGTTTAAAAAAAGTACACTTATCACAACCAGAACGTGGCGCGGTGATTTCGGTCACAGGCATGAGGCAAAGTTAAGTCTGATGTGAGGTGTATAAGGAGATATTCCGTACCCCACTCGGGCGCCAGTCCTTCACTGTTCTGGTTTTACGGAACCTCATGCAAGACTCCTGTTGCACGTCCCCGTCGTGCGCCACGGATAATGTCTCAAATGAGCATTAACAGAGTTGGCAGGGGATCTCGGAGCTGGCGGCCCCCAGAGGTGTAGAGTCCTTTCTGGCTCTCACCAGCCCGCCCCCAAACGCATAGGTGAAAAGTAACAAAACTCAAGGACTGCTTGCTAAATGTACCATCAAATGACAACTCTTGGTTAAAATTCGGGAGCGAATGGAAAACTGTGCTGCTGAGACCTAACCCTGACCGAGAAATTTACCCGCAGCCAAGACGAGTAACATCTCTTGTGGGCGACTTCTCGCAGCATGATCCCACCTACGTACATCGTCTGTCAATCCTCAGTGTCGTCGTCACCGCGCTGAGGTACACCATGGCAGCAACTATTCATATGCTGGTTTGAAAACAATGTCCGACAAAGTTACACCCCACGGCACACATGCAAACTCAAAGTCCGACGATCATAATTCGTACCGATTAGGAAAAGTCCGAATGTCCGTATCCACTGGTCCAACTCGCCCGAGTGTTGGGACCAAACAGGTGAAGCCACGCCTGACGCATTTTGCTTCCCCATTCTGTCGTGCTAAGGGCACAGCTGAAACAACGTTAAAGGTGTCTAACGTAAGATAAAAAAGAATGTACCTATTTGTGTGGCCACAAACGTCCTAGACCTGCGGGCTGCTCCCCGCTGATCTCCGGAGAGCGCAGCCTTGTAGCGCGGGAAGCTCAATACACGGTTGTGAGGTTAAGCAGTCATGGGCAGGACGTGACGATTCCTTGGGTGAGCCCAGAACCAGAGCATGATGTGTCGGCTCTGCATTTATGGAAGCCTCCTTGGATGGCGGGAAATGCCCATGATCTGCCCCTGCCTTCCCTTGAGGGCTGAAAACTCTACATAGAGCTGCCTTAAGGACGACATGCCGGGGGCCACACTTGTTAAAAGTCAAAGAGGACACCACACAAATAAGGCAACATCTCGACCCACACAAAGCAATGGCCACAGTCAACCTAGAAATAGGCTTGACGTCTTCCTCCGAAGTCGGAGTACATCTGCCGGAGAGGCGGGGAACGAGTACTGCAAACAAATAAGCCAGTAAAACGGATGTACACGCAAAACTCAGGTCAAGGTAAAAGCCAAAAGTCCATTTTGGACGAACAACCGTGACTTACCGCCGGAATTCACAGCCGGTGAACAAGAAGAAGAAGAAGACAACCAGAACAAAGAGGCGAAAGCAAGAAGACGAGCAGACAAACAGGACCAAAATAGTGAAAAGATATCAAACCAAGCGAAAAGTAGACTAGCGAGCTTTACAAAGTAACAAAACACAAACAAAAAGTGAACTCTGCTGCTACAGAACCTTTATCGGCACATTGCCTAAATCAACAAAATCACATGTACAGACAAGAATATACAAAGTTCCTTAACCTATGTACTTCCGATGGCAGCCACTTTGATGTACGGTCTCCGAATAGCAGAATCGTGAAGCCGCCACCATTGTATAGCTGGAGACTGCTAAGGGCAGTGACTGGACGATAATAGGTGAAACTGTTAACAGTGAAGTCCCTTGACGCATTAGTACCAAGGGTAAAACTGAAGCGGTTTACAAGAGATTAACGGACTCTGTCGCTGGAGTGACCAGATTTAATGGCTGTCACTTCATGTCACCAAAATAGGACCCAGACACATGGGTATAACCAAACCAAGCCATTAATACAAGTCTCACGCAATAGACTTGGTACAAATAAAAGAGACCACAAATATAGCCGAATGCCGCTTGCCGCAACTTGAACATGGTTGGCTTTTTCTTTTCCTCTGTCCTCCTCTGTATAATTAGTCTTGGAACATGACTTAGTGTTTTAGTTATGAAATACCAGCTGTACAATTAGATAGGAACATATGCCCTCACCTCGTATGGTTACATCTGTACTGAAATGTTCAAATGTTGATTGGAAGGCAATCGGTCCACGTCGGGCTGTCGCTTTGAAGGGTGGGGTAACATTCCACACTTTAAACGACACTGTCTGAAGTGACACCGTGAAGACATAGAGTTTAGATTGAAAATGAGTTGATTTCATAAAAAAATCATAAGTTAACCTACAAAAAAAAAAAAACTGAAATCTTTTTCTTTTCTCAACTCCTGTAATGCATCGCGGCGCCAGGGCATGTAGAGATATCTAGATCGGGCCCTTCTGTTCGCTTCGTATAAAGTACTTCTCAGCGTCTCTGATATTTCTGCTGTCTATGTTCTGCGGTGTCGACCTCTGTTTTTTTTTTTTTTTTTGGTAGTATCTGCATAGCATTGCTTTTTGATGTGTCTTTCTGATGCCAATCTTATTACATGGCCAAACCATTTGACTTGTTGTCTACCTATAAAGTTTAGTATTGGTTCTGTGCCGACTTTCTTCCTGGTATCATCGTTTCTAAGTTGATCTTTCCTCGTTAAACCTAGCATTGCACGTAAAAGACTGAAATAATGAGTTGCAACAGAGAAACGACAAAGCAAGCTCACACAGATGCAATCTAAGAAGACCTAGAGGTTGCCCAGGCAAGCAACTGATAGACTATCTGAAGCTGTGAATACCAGCATCTGGGACGCACACGCCAAGACGCACAACGGTTATCTCTTCGAAACATAAGTCTGAAAGGCAGAAGACTAAAGAAAAGAACAAAAACAAAATGAACAAAAAGGCAGCGGACGTGCAAATGTAAACACTTGCAATGCGGATGTTTCGCTAGAAATGCGATCTTTCGTAACGCGCGCAAACATGCCTTACCATTGATGGCTGCTCGACAGAAACAAAACAAACAGACACGGGAGACAGGATACCGCTAGAAAACCGACAGACTGCCAACAGAAAAAGAAATTATGGAAAGGTACAGTTGGGGTAAGATGGGTGTATGTAAGCGCGTTTATCTGAACATGAAGGCGAAGATATAAAAGATTCCTCGAACATAGATGTAAGGAAGCGAAGACAGGTTCTGAAAGACTAGGTGGTCGGTCTGTATAAATAGGTTCACATTCTTGCACTTTATTATCAAGTATCCCACCTCAAAAGTTGACTGCACACTGGTATAGCCGTTACTGTCATCCTAATTATAACTGCTTTGGAGGTTGATCTTGTTATCTATCTTGTCAGTCTGCCGTCTTGGTCGATTGACTGAAGGCTACATCCGTAACTGTTGCGATACCTTAAGACAGCGGTTCTTAACCTGTGGTTCGCAACCCCTTTGGGGGTCGAACGGTCCTTTCAGAAAGGTCCTCTAACAGCATCAGAAAAAAAAAAAAAAAAAAAAACTCATTCACTAAAGATGTCAGTCAGTCAGTAGCACGTCATTTGCAGAATCTTGCTCCCATTGCAAGCATCCATAAAACTTTACAATCACAAGCAAGATGTCCCGCGTCCGATACACCCATCTGGAGATCATCCGCCTCATCTTGCACCCATCTTCTCTTGGCCTTCCTTTCTTCCCAGACATATACCCCTATTATTGTTCTCTCAAAACTGTCGTGACCTTTCATGTGACCAAAATATTACAATGTTATGTATTTTGTCGTCTTTAATAGCCAGCCTTCTTCAACATTCAGTTCCTAAAGCATGGATGCATTTATTCCTTTCTTTGTCCATGGTATTCTTAGAACCTGTCTATACTATTTTAATTCGTGTATGCGCTGTTCAGCTAGTTCAGTAATTGTCCAGGTCTCACAGTCGTATAATCTCACCAACAGAAACGATAGCCATGGCCACCGACTAGTACAGTTACTACCCAGAAGGAAAGCAATGGCAAACTAACTTCAGCAAAACTTGCCTAAAAATAGAAAAGCCATGAAAGTTATAAAGAAGCAAATAAAAATAAAAAAATATGGATGGGGGTTACCACAGCAAGAATAACTGTATTAAAGTGTCGCGGTATTAGCAAGGTTGAGAACCATTGCCTTAATTTAACATTGTTTTACAGGTGAACGGAATTTCTTGGATGTGCTGTGGTTTGATTCTCACCACTAACTTGTTTTTTTTTTTTTTTTTTGAAAAGTGTGTCTTCAGCGTGTGAGTTTAAGAACAATTGTGTGCTAAAAAATATACAGACTTCATATCACCTCCACTTCCTCCTCCTCCTCATTTTCTTCTTGTTCTTCTTCTTTTTGTTCTTATTGTTGTTGTTGTTGTTGTTGTTGTTGTTGTTCTTCTTCTTCTTCTTCTTCTTCTTCTTCTTCTTCTTCTTCTTCTTCTTCTTCTTCTTCTTCTTCTTCTTCTTCTTCTTCTTCTTCTTTTTCTTCTTCTTCTTTTTCTTCTTCTTCTTCTTCTTCTTCTTCTTCTTCTTCTTCTTCTTCTTCTTCTTCTTCTTCTTCTTCTTCTTCTTCTTCTTCTTCCTCTTCTATTGCCCTGGTACATATTATGGCTGATGTGTACTGTAATTTTTTTTAGATACTTTGAGATGAGCACCGGCACCTTTCTAGTCACTGTTGGCAGAGTACTAGTACCTATTTGTCCAGAAAGAAGACATGTGTTTGAGCAGTGCCATCTTAAAGAATGAGTTCCCTTAACAATTTCCAGGTGGTACCACCAGCACACCAGCACAGGAGCCCAATGCTAAACTGTGTATGTCAAGTGACTTGCCATAAATTTAAAAAAAAATATGTAATTCACGTGAGTTGACGTCGTGGGAGCCTCAGCACAATGGCTTGCCCAGGGACCCACAACACTCTGGGTAGAAGTATTGCGTCACTGACCTTGTCTGAGGTGACGATGAGCTGGAAGTAATCTTTGCTGGGCGGGTCAGCTACCTCTTGTCGGAAATACAGGTAGCCCTCGGGACAGTGCCAGCGCTGGGAGATGATGTTGTCTGGCATCACCGAGGTCACTGATGTTGGATTTGATCTCGGGCTCTCATGTCGTTCTTGTCCTGCTGGAGTTCAGCACGAAAGCTGGCAGGAGAATGTGTGTGTGTGTGTGTGTACGCGCGCGCGTACGCGTGCTGTGATGTGTAAAGTATCTGTGTCTCTTTGTACCCTTTTATCTTTATGTATGTGTGCTGTGTGTGTGTCTGTATATGTGTCTGTGTATGCGTGCTTGTGTATGTCTGTATGTGTCCCACTCTCTCCGCCCACTTCAGTCTTTCTGCATGTGCATGGTGCGGTGGGTACGGGTGTGTGTGTGTGCGTGTGTCTGTGTATATGTTTAATTTTGCCCTCCCCCCCCACCTCCACAGAAAAACTCCATCACCCTACCAGGTGTCGAACCCCGGTCGTCCGTATGGCAACCGGACGCTGCAACCGCTCGACCATTTTTCATAAATGGCTAACTCCCAACCGTAATTGTAGTGTTCTGGAAGGGCTTAATCGCTTTTCCCTGGCTGTCCATGTTGTCTGTTGGTCGCTTTTTCATTGCTGTCCGTGTCGTCTGTTCGTCACTTTTCCCTTGCTGTCCATGTCGTCTGTTCGTCACTTTTTCCTTGCCGTCCATGTCGTCCGTTCGTCACTTTTCCCTTGCCGTCCATGTCGTCTGTTCGTCGCTTCTCCCTTGCTGTCCATGTTGTCTGTTCGTCGCTTTTCCCTTGCCGTCCATTTCGTCTGTTTATGGCTGCAGGAGATTTCCGGTCACCATTTACGGCGGCCACGCTATTTCTTTATAATCACAGTTTGTATTGTCTCGCCAACATCTTCGCGCTTCTTCGAATATCATGAAAAGATAAACCAAACGAACTAGTAAGTCAGCTTTACCTTATCCCAATTGCAAACGAAGAGTGAACGTTGCTGTCAGAAAGCTGTCATAAGAACATGAGGTGAGAAGACATTATTTCATTTACAAACAGGAATGCACAAAATCCTTTAACCGAGGTATTTTCAAGAAACATCCACATGTTTCTCTGGTCAGTCGAGGCTCTTGAGGCATGTTTTGAAGTTTGGTTTCTTTCAGTGCTGCACCCTTGGCTTGAGCTATCATTACTGTTGATCCTTTCATCGATTCATACTGTTGACGTCTATGATATAATATCGGTTCAATGCTGGAGTCAAGAACATGAGTCTCGCCATGGATTCTGAGTTAGAGACAATAATAGGTTTCCCTACTTTATGTTATCAGTGCCAAACATGGACAATGAATAGTGCTTTAAAACAGCAAATAACTTCTTGTGAAATGTGCTGTCTCCGCAAGGTCACTAACAACACAAGAAGAGACAGGGTTACGAACACCAGCATTACCGAAAAAGTCGGAATAAGACCACGTCAAGATAATATTGATAGACAAAGAATGAAATGGTTCAACCATGTAGTAACAATGCAGCCAGACCAAACTGCATGTGATAAAAGCTTTTCACAGCAGAATATCTGGGAGGAAAGCGAGAGGAAGACCAAAATAGAGATGGATAAATAGTGTATCTGAAACCTGCAAAAAAGATTAACACATCCATCATCCAAACCACTCAAAAAGCGCAAGACAAATACAGAAAACCACGACCCTAGTCTACAACCTGGTGTCAGAGTGACAATAGAAGAAGAAGAAGCAGCACTGGATCCAGTGAGGCTCAGGCAAGTAGGACGGAGCAGAGTTTTCAGTGGAGTCATTAGTACACATTTGCTGGTGCAATTATGGAAGAACAAACCCTACTGCAAAGGAAATAAGATTATAGTGCAGTGTTTCTCAACCTTCCTAACGCGGCGATCTCTTGATACAGTTCCTTATGTTGTGACGACACCCTTATCAATCATACAATTATTTTCGTTGCTACTTCATAACCTCAGTGAATTTGTGTTTTCCTGTGGTCTTTGACGACCCCTGTGAAAGGGTCGTTTGACCAACAAAAGGGACGCGACGCACATGCTGAGAACCGCTGTTCTAGTAAAAAGAGGAATGACCAACTCCACATGTAACGAGAAGACATCCTAATACGATGGAAAACTGTCTCAAATGCTAGGAACAACAGTTTCCATTGCTGGGAGAAGTAACCCCAATGACTGGCAGAACAGTTCTAAGTGAAACAAACGATACTCACAATCAATTTTATTATAAGTAGATTGCATATTTGATGTATTTCTTCTTGTGTACCACCATTTTACAACGTCATATTTGATCTCAAAATAAATACCAAAGTATGCGGTGACGTATTGTACTATAACGAAACAAAACAAGATGAGAGCTTTTGGGAGAAATTATTACTTTTGGACTTGAGTCTCGTTCCATAATCAAAAGTTCTTGTTCACATCTATTTTACAGATATGGTTTATTTGACTGTGAACTTTTCCAGTTCTAATTCCTTTTAAGAAAAACAATCAAAAACTCAAACTCACACTCATCTGTGAACTGTTGGCCCTCTCCTCTTTTTATAGTATTAGTCGTGGTGCCTTTTGTATTAAGAATTGTTTACTTTCTAATTCCGTTATGAATGCTAGAGTTGGAGAGCAACAGTAGCTCTTAATAAAAAAAATAAAAAAATTAGAAAGCTTTGAGAACATGTCTAGGAAGAATACTAAATCAACACTGAACAAATTTCACATCCATTAAGCAAATAAGACAAGTGACCAAGCAAGATAATGTATCAAATTGTATAAGAACTACGTCGGCCATACCCTCAGATGAGACAAGACTCCCCCATCAAGCGCTCCTATGGACACCGGAAGGAAAAAGAAAACACGAAAAAAACAAAAAACAAAAGAGACTCTCCGTAGAACCATCATCAGTGAAGGCTCAATCATGGGGATAACAAACATCAAGACCTAAAGCAGGTGGCAACGAACCAGCAGATATGGAGAGCTAGGACCTCTGCCCTATGCGCCGCCGTAGGCTCAAGAGGAAAGACTAACCAAGTTCCATTAAACTATATGGTACAGTATTTATATCTGTTGTGTTTTGAATCTCGAGTGAGAAACGACGTGATCACAAGAACTGTTGAAACACCCATCGTCAAATTGGTTGAGAAACAAAGAATGAAATGGTTTGGTCATCTCATGAGAATGAAACCAACGATGCCAGCAGCAAGAGCGTACAACATGAAAATCGAAACACCAAGAGGCAGGGGAAGACCGAAATGATATGGATTGAAGGAGTCAATGACACCTTAAGACCGAAAACATGACATATCAAGGTACCGAGCGCGTCCTGGCTCGGCTGTCGATCCTCTGATGAACTGCGACATTTAGCGGCATAAGCAGATATTGACAAAAGAAGAAAGAAGAAGAAGTGTATTGAATATGTGATGTGTTTTAAATAAACGGTTATTTAAAAAAAAAAACAAGATATTTTTTATATATTAAATATTTTATTCAACCCAGACCAAGTAAGAAAGACATTGTATCAATTTTGAGGTTGTAAATGGAAAGCATATAAACATTATTGAACAAACATAAATGATTTTTTTCCCCAAACTTCGCGTGTCAGCTCCTGGATCCAGTTTGGTGGAACCAAGGAATAGACCCATTGCCCCCAAGGATGTCCTAGAAGTCGACTAATTATTGATGTTTCCATTGAAGTCGTACTTCATTTGAGTGCAAGACAATAAACCTTACTGCATACAAATAAACCAGATCAGTAAAACGTTTGTGCACGCAAAACTCAAGTTCTAGTATAAGAACACAGTTCAGAGTTGCATGAACAACCAGATCTTTCCGCTGGAGTTTAGAGATAGTCAACGCTAAGATGAAAAGGAAAAAGGAGAAGAGCAACTGTCATTTTCTCATTAGGACATCCTTTTCTGGATAACATTGAGTTTGGTTTTTACAACGGAATAACGTCATGGCGGAAGCGTAGTAACCCATAAGTGATTGATTCTACTTCTTCTTACTCAAACCTGAGTACGAGTGTCCTCAGCGCAGTGCACGAACTCCGTATACCGGCGAGGATACTGAAATACCTTTGGTAGAATTTTAACTCCAATTTTTGCTTGGGTGGAGCCGTTAGGCTACTCTTTTCGAATCTAACTGCCAAAGGATTTTTCAAGTGCGCAACAATACACTTGGGGGTCCGGTTTTACTACCCAGAGACCATGGGAAATTACTAATAGTCCACGTGACAAAAATCCCAGCCTTCACTGGGTCCTGAACGTAGGAACTCTAGAACTCGAGGCAGACGCCATGCCTTGAGACCACTCACCCTCCAACACTACCAACACCTCCCCCCCTCCCCTCCCCTCCCCAACCACATTTTAGAGTGACTGTATACATTTCAAAGTTTTTAGAGGGAAACAATTTAGAGATTCTGGAACATAACCACACGAGTTATCTCCCTATACTTGTTGTCTGAATGATTGCGAGATTAATTAATGGAAATAACGCTCTTCGTCGTCCCCCTTGTGGGATGCATATTTTCGTTTCGTTACTTTGAAGCCCCATATAGACTTTAAATGCGGTTTCGGGGACCTCTCCACTGGTAATCCTCATCCGCATGGTGGCACTTTGTGTCACCGGGTGTTTATCGCTTTGTCTAATATCCTGGTGGGTAAATGTTACATACTTATCAAAGGGAAACAAATTGATCTCAAAATTTGAAGCAAGACAGAGACAAATCTATACTAGCGTTCCTATCTGCAAGTTACACTTGATTGTGAAGCCGCTAGAGGATCTCTGATTACATCTCTTTTCGAGCATGAACAGTTTCCTTTTGTCGAGATGATATTTATCAATCTCTCATTTGTGATTTCTTAATTTCAGTGATTTAAACCGTTAGCGCAAAGGGGTTAAACCTATTCATCGATAGATCTAGACTGAACAAAGACACAAACGAATAACTAAAAGTAAAAGTGAAAACTAAAGAACCCATTTCCACGCCTTCCGGCGTAGTTGGCATATAGGGCATATAGCTAGTTAGATAACCTAACTAACTGAGGGCTAGAACTATATTTTATTGAGCAATCGGCGCTTAGTGGGTGATGTGGTCGGCATCACGCCAGCCGCCTTTACATCCCCAAGACCGCTTCTGGTACCCACTCAAGGCTGGGTCGATCTGGGAGCAAAGGCTATGTTTGACAGAAGTCCGGCTCCATTAGGACATGAACCCACGACCTTAATAACTAAAAATGGAAGATGTATCTGAAGATGAAGATCATGTAATAACTAAAAATGGAAGATGTATCTGAAGATGAAGATCATGTAATAACTAAAAATGGAAGATGTATATGAAGATGAAGATCATGTAATAACTAAAAAGTAAAGATGTATATGAAGATGAAGATCATGTAATAACTAAAAAGGGAAGATGTAAATGAAGATGAAGGTCATGTAATAACTAAAAAGGAAAGATGTATATGAAGATGAAGATCATGTAATAACTAAAAGGGAAGATGTATCTGAAGATGAAGATCATGTAATAACTAAAAAGCGAAGACGTATATGAAGATGAAGATCATGTTAATAACTAAAAAGGGAAGATGTATATGAAGATGAAGATCATGTAATAATTAAAAAGGGAAGATGTATATGAAGATGAAGGTCATGTAATAACTAAAAAGGAAAGATGTACATGAAGATGAAGATCATGTAATAACTAAAAGGGAAGATGTATCTGAAGATAAAGATCATGTAATAACTAAAAAGGGAAGATGTATATGAAGATGAAGATCATGTTAATAACTAAAAAGGGAAGATGTATCTGAAGATAAAGATCATGTAATAACTAAAAAGGGAAGATGTATATGAAGATGAAGATCATGTTAATAACTAAAAAGGGAAGATGTTTATGAAGATGAAGATCATGTTAATAACTAAAAAGGGAAGATGTATCTGAAGATAAAGATCATGTAATAACTAAAAAGGGAAGATGTATATGAAGATGAAGGTCATATCAAAACTAAAAAGGGAAGATGTATCTGAAGATGAAGAACATGTAATAAGTAAAAAGGGAAGATGTATATGAAGATAAAGATCATGTTATTAACTAAAAAAGGAAGAATCATATGAAGATGAAGATCATGTAATAACTAAAAAGGGAAGATGTATATGAAGACGAAGATCATGTAATAACTAAAAAAGGAAGATGTATATGAAGATGAAAGTCATGTCATAAACAATGAATAATTAGGAAATATGTTATTTTACTGTTTTCAGATTTAAAAAAAAAGAAAAAAAAAAGAAGAAAGAAATAAATAAAAAAACCTTTCAACACACTGATACTTTTGATTCTTTCAAGTTATGTAATGTATTTGACGTTGTATCGCGTTTTACACATAACAGTATGTAATTCACATTATGTTACAATTTAACAAATATATTTTCAGCTTTTCAATTTTTCCCTTTTTTTTTTAAATTATGCTTTGCAACATTGATCTCCAGAATAAGTAATGATTTTAGTGTGATATCCTTTTCTTTGAAAACTACCTTGATGGTATTTTATGGTACTACATATGTCATTATTCATTATTCATCATCATAAACCACTTCTACAGTTACGAGTCACTGGAAGGAAAAAATTTGCGATTCAGTGTACGCTGGTTGGTACCGGCTTTGGTGATGTGATATCCTGAAGGTGTAAAGTGTTTATATAAATTTCGATCTATGCCTTTTGTGGTCGTCCTCTTGCTCTTCTCTTGCTCTTTAGCTGGTCTTTTGAGATGGAGTGCCTGTGATGGTATGTGATGTTACTGCATTCTAACAAAATGGTCAAACCACCTGATTTGATTTTTCTCGTGAATCCAGTAAAATATGTTGTTCACGCTATAGGTATGCTAATTTCATTAATCATTCTTTCTCAGATGGTTAGGGTAATATAAATGATAGTCTCCACATATAGACCGCCCATATACACACTAGCTCACTTCCGATTGGTCGACTTTCAGCCTAGCTAACGTCTTATTGGTCGACCTTGAGCCACCCGTCCTTGGCACAGGGTGACGGGGGTGTTTCCCAATACCGCTGATATAGCGTCTTCAATATGTCAGCATTCCAGCGCCTTTAACACTACAAAAACATCGACAACCGGGTCTAACACACAATCTTTTTTTTTTTAAATACGTCCCTCAGAAAACCACACTTTGTTTTAAGTTAACTGAAAGGTTGTCTTAAGCGAATTCGTGTAAACCAGTTCTGGACTTGGACATAAAGCAACAAAGCCGCAACTTAGAGCTCCACAAACTGCAAGGGGTTAAAACATTTTTCCCCCACAAATGCAATTTTCATTTAATATATATATATATATATATATATATATATATATATATATATATATATATATATATATATATATATATATATATATATATATATATTTAATTCCGCATACATTTTATAATTTTAGTAATAATACTTCAGGCTTTTATTGTTGTTGTTGTTGTTGTTGCTGTTGTTAATTCTAGTTTGGTGTACCCTATTTAACATTATTAACCATAATCAGCTTGACTTGCGTCAACTTCTAACCTTTAAAAAACAATTATTAAAAACTTATGGAATGGCGAGTGAGAAGCAACAACAAAATTCATAATTTGTTCAAATCCCGAATGATCACTGACATCATGAGAGCTAATAGACTGAAATGGAATATTGAAAGAATGTTAGATGACAGAGGAAGAAAGAAAAAGTGTTTTCACGAGGGAGATGAATGGTCGTAGACCACGCGGCAGACCAAGAAGACGATGGAGAGATAATGTCCAGACAGACCTGCAAACACTTGGTGTCACCAACTGGAAACAGAAGGCCAACCAGAAAGATGAATTGAGGCGGGTGATATCTGCAGCAATAAACCTCAAGGGCTCGGAATGCTGAAGAAGAAGAAGTAGATTATTAACCTAAATATGTTAAAGTTTTCTGAGATTTACTGGTCTTATTTAGAATAGTAGGGGCCTCAGGGCTTTGTACTTGTAAGGTCCTCATCAAGTCTAAATCTTATTTCAAGGAAAGATATAAAACCAAACTAAAAGTAAATTAGAAAGCTCAACAATTTAACAAATACAAACAAAACGTGAACGTTGCGGCTATGGAGCCTTCATCAACACATACAAATCAAACAAACTACACAAATACACAAAATCTGATGTAAATGATGTTTTACTGTCACTGGTTTCATGTCATTGCTGGAAGTCTCAGAGATTCTGAGTTGTAGACTGGCAGAAAAGCAGCAGCAGCCATCACACCTGAAGCAGGTGGTGCGTCTTATCCATAGTAGGTAGTCCTGGAGTAGGTGTAAGACGCAGAAGTGGTGACGACAATAATCGGTACGATGATGGCGATGAGGATCAGCACAACCCCTATGCATATGGAGATGAGAGAAAACTTGCGAGCGTCGCTGGCACTGACTCGAGCTCCGTTGAGATCCCCTCTGTTCATGGCGTCTCTCGACTGAGGAGAAATTCGAAATAAAAAGGAATGCTGAATAATATCAGGTATGTATTACTTCGAAACAGGTGTTTACAGGTTGAAATCTAGAGAGTAGCTGCTCAATATGGTCCTGTCTTTACCTATAGAACGACTAATCACCTCATGAGAGCATTGCAAATAGCTCAAAATCATTAGCTCCGGCAACTGTCCCTGGTTCTCTTCCTAAAAACTACGCTGCTTAATCGGAAACGGCAATTTTGAAACGAATCCACTGACTTCATAGCGAGAGAGGCATAAAGGAGTGTTGGGAAATTAACAGACAGACAGATTGAATGATTCTCTACCAAAGCGTAGGGACTTGAAGCTTTACAGGCTAAATGTGGTCAAGGCCCTTTTGGAGCAAATGAACAATGTGGAGGCACACATAGATCATTATGTCTTGACAAGAATGTTAAAGCTAGGACTGAGAAGAGGCTCTGGTCGACACTCCACACTCAGAGGAAAGGCAAAGTAGACTTTTAGTGAAACTTGTACTGACATCATCGCAATCGGAACTCTTCGCTGGCTGCTAAGGAGGAGGACACAGCTTTAATGGGAATGTCGGGAATGCTGTGATATCAATACGTAACGCAACACTCAACACAGCAAGAGACAATTTGTTTTGAAAACTTCGGCATGGAGACATCTACAATAGTTCACTTCGTTCGTTGCTGTGTAGAAACAGTCCGGACAATGAGAAGTTGAAATAATACTAAGGGGTGCATAATACAAAGAGATACATAACATAACATACCCCTTGACCCGTTAGGGTCGTGGAGTTGTATTATTGGAAGCACTAGCACATAAATCCCGCCATCTTTCTCTGTCTTTTGCCTGATGAATAAGTGTAAGATAACTTAGTCTTCTCTTTTTCTTGTTTTTGTCATTCCATTTTCTTCTTTGCCTTCCTCATCTTCGAACATTCGAACACCCCCCCCCCCATCCCCCCAATCCCTCCCCACCCACAGTGTTCCTTATCATCGCTTCTAATTCTTTATGGCTTACATTTCCTCATATTGTTTTTATTATTGTTATTATTATAATTACCATCCACATCCTCTGCCGCCTTCTCGCCCTCGAAGAAGGAGGAGGCGTAGTATTAGTAGCAGCACTAGTAGTAGTAGTTGTAGTAGCAATAGTAGTAGTAGTGGTAGCAGTAGCAGCAGCAATAGTAGTAGTAGCAGCAGCAGCAATAGCATCAGCAGCAGTACTAGTAGTAGTAGCAGCAACAGTAACAGCAGTAGTAGTTGTAGTAACAGCAGTAGCAGCAGCAGCAGTAGAAGTAGTAGTAATAGTAGTAGTAGTAGTAGTAGTAGTAGTAGTAGTAGTAGTAGTAGTAGTAGTAGTAGTAGTAGTAGTAATAGTAATAGTAGTAGTAGTAGTAGTAATAGAAATAGTAGTAGTAGTAAAAGTAGTAGTACTAGTAGTAGTAGTAGTAGTAGTAGTAGTAGTAGTAGTAGTAGTAGTAGTAGTAGTAGTAGTAGTAGTAGTAGTAGTAGTAGTGTAATAGTGGTAGAAATAGAAGAAGTAGCAGTAGTAGTAATAGTACTAGTAGTAGTAGTGTGGTAGTAGTGATGGTGGTAGTACTAGTAGTAGTAGTATTAGTAGCAGGAGTAGTAGAAGTAGTAGTAGTAGTAATAGTAGTAGTGGTAGTAGTAGTAGTAGTAGTAGTAGTAGTAGTAGTAGTAGTAGTAGTAGTAGTAGTAGTAGTAGTAGTAGTAGTAGTAGTAGTAGTAGTAGTAGTAGTAGTAGTAGTAGTAGTAGTAGTAGTAGTAGTAGCAGCAGCAGCATTAGTAGTAAGAAAGAAAAAAAAGAAAGAATTAAAAGAAAAAGATGATGATGATGATGATGATGATGATGATGAAGATAACGATGATGACGACGATGAACATGTACCTCGCTGGCTCTCAAGATGGCCACAATGCCAAGCGGCCAGAAGCAGCAGAGACAAGCGAAGATGGCCAGCCCCATGTTGTCTTGGACTGACACCACCTGAGTCACGTTTGTAGCTGGTTGAGTGACCACCACTGTGTTTGAGTGCATGCCGCTGCTCTGGCCCTGGGGAAGAGCATTCGATTAATTAACTTGTGTCTCGTGTCCTTTGTTCTATACACTAGTACACACCTATTCTCGTCGGCCTCTGTGGCTTGGGCGTTGCAAACACGCTTCGGGATGCTGGGTTCTATCTCAGATGCAGTCCTTGGTTTCGACAGTGTTATCAAGAAGAAGACCGTCCAGAAAGCAATGCCAAACTACTGGACGATAAACACAACAGCCATTTCCAGCCTTTTCCGGGGATCATTTTCATCCCGCAATCAAAACCAAGCTGGCCGAACGGTTAGAACACTGGGGTCTTAGGCAGGAGACACGGGTTGGAATCCTCGGCAAGTTTGTCAGGGGCCCCAAAAAAGAAACTCACCTAGCACAGTCGTGGCGACAGCACTAGCCATGCGCCCATGAACGAACAGGCTCAAAGACGCCCCTGCCTCAAGCGCAAAAGTCGTATAATAGAGGCAGTAATTGGCAGGTTCCTTGGCACCCACCTTACAGACACTGTGCGGTTCTGCATCAGATCATGGATGATGTGGTCTGTCTAACCTTGGCTGATACCAAAATGTGCAGCTATGGGATTAGCAGTGAATGGTCGGTTTTACTGTATAAGACCTTTAATAGGTGCAGTCGACTTGGAAAAGGAGGGGGGGGGGCGGGAAATGGGAGGGATAGGGAGTCGTCAATACTTGTGGTAGCTGACCCGGTCGTGTCACTGAAGTCATGACTTTTTAAAGCTTCCTACTCCCCCCCCCCCCCCCCCCCCCCCCCCACCCGGGCCACCCACTTGCTGGATTGACTTAATTTGCTGTCGATTTTCTATAAGTTTCGCCCTTTTACTGGTTAAAAAAACAACAACCAAGATATCATAACGCCACTCTTATTTGGTGGACCTTAAAAGTGAGGCGGTCATCTTTAAATTGCTAATATACTGTCACCATTTTCATCGGCACTATGAGATCAATACACCCTTGATATCCGTAACAATAGTACTGCCAGGTTTCAAAATAATGGCATAACTGTAATTTCTATCGAACCTTTGAGGCTTTCATTTGGAAGCCTATCGTAACTGGATTCTTAAAGCCCTATCAGGTTTCATGTGTCATTGTTGCTGTCTTTGCTGTGTTATTGAGCTCCAAAGATGTTACTCTAAAATAATGAAATCTTCTGGATAAAAAGAAGGACTACCGCTTCTGTCTACACCCTGTTAGTAATTATACGTGAAGTGATTGAAATGTCTGCCTATACGTACAAAGGGAGCCGTTGTTGTCTAGCGGCTAGACTCTCGTCTGCGGATCAAAAGGTCGTGGGTTCGGGACATTTTTCAAAAATGACCGAGACTCCCAGGTCGACCCAGCCTTGAATGGGTACCAGGTACAGTCCTGGGAAGTAAAGGCGGTCAGAGTGAGGCTGACCACATTACCCACCAAGTGCCATTTGGTCTATAAAATATAGGTCTAGCCCTATATACCCAATACGCCTAAAGGCATGGAAAAGCGATCTTTACCTTATTTACTTACTATACATGCAAATGAATGCACTACCAGAAGAGCAAGAAGCATTTACGAGTTGGCGTTAAGAAAAGAATAATCCAGAGAACTGTGACTAGAAAATTTAACAATATAGGGAATCAGAAAAACCTGCACAAAACCTGACAAATATCGACGTTTAGGTCGGGGGCCTTTCTCGACATGAACTTAACTATACAACAGAAATAAACAGCACATTTAGCAAAAAAGGAAGTCCACGCTTCTGTACTTAAATATTAAGGGGATAGTTAGGTTGATAAAAGAAAAAAACAGGGAGGGGGTGGATAGGGGGAGGACTGTGGGTACAGGACAGGATAAAAGTATCATTCTAAGTAAAGTAAAGTAAAGTAAAGTAAAGTAAAGTAAAGTAAAGGACCCTTTTATCCACGCCTTTAGGCGTATAGGGCATATAGGGCTAGACCTATATTTTTAAAGACCAATCGGCACAAGATGGGTGATGTGGTCAGCATCACGCCGGCCGCCTTTACTTTCCCGGCACTGCACCCGGTACCCACTCAAGACTGGGTCGACCTGGGAGCCAAGGTCATTTTTGAAATAAGTCAGGCTCCGTCAGGGAGCGAATCCACGACCTTCCGATCCGCGGCGAGCGTCTAGCGCTCGGCCACGGCGACTCCCAAAGTATCATTCTAATAGATTTTAACACTCAAGGAAATGTACGTATAAAGAGTACAGTTATATGAAATTGTAACTGAGAAAGATTTAAAAATGGAACTGTCTTTCTTTTGGGAGAGGAAGCAAGAACAGACTAATATACTGCTCCTGTCTCATCTGTTTGCATTATCGTCGTCATTGTCGTCATCATCATTATTAGTTTTGTTCTTCCGTTTCTCATCTTTCTGCTCTTCATCTTGCTTTTGCCCCACCTTATGTATATCACCCAGCTATCCAGGCATTATTTCTTCGCCTTGGTAATGCACTTTTTCTATCAAATTGCCATTTGCAAAGAAGGATCATATATATATATATCTGTGTGTGTGTGTGTGTGTTTAAAGCACCATAGCAAACAAAAGGAACCATAATTTTAATTTTAAATTTTAAAAATATACATAGATACATATTTATGTATGTATATATATTTAAAAAAGAGTTCATGTTTTTTTATATACAATTTAAAAAGTGGTTCCTTTGGTGCCCTTTGGCACGTTAACAAACAAACAAACAAACAAAAAATCAGTACTATTTCGACAAATTTTTTTTTTTAACTTTGCCATGTACCCATTTAATGCTGGGTCGTTCTGTGAGCCAAGTTTAGGTTTAAAAAAAAAAGTCTGGGTCCTTTCAGATTTGAACCTACGACAGCTCCCAAGTAAAGAACACGGCACTATGAAAAAAATATTCGCATCATATTTTGGGGAGGGGGGGGGGGGGGGGTGGGGACGCTAGTCCAGCTTTGGTTGCACATAAAGCGTAACCGAGTGGAGCCCTGATTTATTCTATTGGGCTTCGTTCTCTTCTTCTTTCCTTGATCTTTTACCGCTTTGGATGTTGAAGGAGATGTAAGATTTTGTTTCTTGCTCTACAGGCCTCTTCAAGCATGGACACATCATGCTCCTGTAGAGTTTCTGATGTCATTTTCCTATCTTCTCCTTGCTCTTCCTTGTGCTGTACGTCCATCTCCTCTTTTAGTGTTTGTGAAATGTTCTCAAACTTCCATCGCAGCATCCGTTGCACTTTCAGCCTTTCACCTTAATCGGTGTATTTTATGGATCTCACTGTCACCGTGGACTCTACAAGCTTCAGCACCTCGGTGTACTATAAACCCACGGATTCCCATGCTTTTATTTTGTACACCTCCTCTTATCCCTCTTCCTGCAAGGACTCCATTCCTGTCTTCCAGCTTCTACGCCTCCGCAGATTATGCCAGGAGAACGACGACTTTCACAACAAGCCCCTGGAAGTGCTGAACTTCTGGCCTCGAGGGTATCCGGAACATGTCTTATCTGCTGCCTTTCACCGAGCACGGTCTATCCATCGTACTGAGGCACTCGTCCCTAAGCCTAAAACTCACCACCACAGACCCACTCTGACACCTACCTACCACCCTCACAATATCCGTGACAAAAATATTCTCCTCAAGCGGCTCTCCATCCATAGGGTTGACCCTACAACCAGCAAGTTTTTTTTTTTCTAAACTACCTTTAGTGGTCTACAGGCATGACCGTAACCTCAAGGAAATTCTAGTCAATAGTCGGTTAGGTCCTGTCTCTGAGTCCCACTTTGGGACGGCCTCTTTCCACAGACCTGTCCATATGTGGTTCAAGGTACCAGCCTGGAATTCCCGAATGCCACCTTCCACATATATGAAGCCTTCTCTTGCACAAGCCGTAGTGTCATTTACGCTATCAACTGCAAGAGATGTGGCATGCAATGCATCGGTGAAAGGGATTTACGACTGACTGACAGGTTCAAACAACATCTTTTAGATGTGCAGAACGGTGCCCTAAAACCAGTATCATTGCATTTCAATTCCCAGGGCCATCAAGGTGTCCATGACATGGAGATAACAGCCATTAAATTTAGCCAGCCCAGCAACAAAGAGTTCGAAAGTCTATTGAAAATGGCTTTCTTTACGCTTTGGGAACTCTGGCACCTAATGAACTAAACGACCAACACAGCGTCATCAAAATTCTAGGGGACTGAACTGCGTACACAGTTTCATCTTATCCTCGAGTGACGGGCCCTGGCATTCCCCAGGATATTTATTTTCCCGTTCCCATGTGTCTTGCCAGTCAATTGGCTAGACATCGGCCTGACTGCTTCGAAATACAAATGCAAGTGATATTGTGTATTTGTGTAGTGTTGTCTAATTTATGTATGTGCTAATGAAGGCTCCATAGCCGCAACGTTCACGTTTTGTTTGTGTTTGTTACACTGTGAAGCTCGCTGATATACTTGTCTTTCAGTTTCATATCTTTCCTTCTCTTTTGGTTTATGCCTTGTATGGTATGGCGTCACAAGGCAGTCTCTCTAAGTGGACAAACAATTTTTTTGAAGTCTTTCAATGCAAATTACAATTGGTTCTTAATCGACTTTCTTTCCGCTTATGACATTAATCCTGTATTTTCTTTTCTGGTCACTCCTCTTACAGTTCTCAGACATCTCATTGACCTTGTTACTGATTTTTTTCTTCTTCTTCTTCTTTTCTTCTTCTTCTTCTTCTTCTTCTTCTTCTTCTTCTTCTTCTTCTTCTTCTTCTTCTTCTTCTTCTTCTTCTTCTTCTTCTCCTCCTTCTTCTTCTTCTTCTTCTTCTTCTTCTTCTTCTTCTTCTTCTTCTTCTTCTTCTTCTTCTTCTTCTTCTTCTTCTTCTTTTCTTCTTCTTCTTCTTCTTCTTCTTCTTTCTTCTTCTTCTTCTTCTTCTTCTTCTTCTTCTTTCTTCTTCTTTTCTTCTTCTTCTTCTTCTTCTTCTTCTTCTTCTTCTTCTTCTTCTTCTTCTTCTTCTTCTTCTTCTTCTTCTTCTTCTTCTTCTTCTTCTTCTTCTTCTTCTTCTTCTTCTTCTTCTTCTTCTTCTTCTTCTTCTTCTTCTTCTTCTTCTTCTTCTTCTTCTTCTTCTTCTTCTTCTTCTTCTTCTTCTTCTTCTTCTTCTTCTTCTTCTTCTTCTTCTTCTTCTTCTTCTTCTTCTTCTCCTCCTCATTCTTCTTCTCCTACTCCTTCGCGTTCACCAACTGTATACTTCCGTGGAAAGTTCTGGTTATTCGTCCACTTGTAGACTGCAGTCCTTTTCCAGAACCTGGATGTTGCGCGTGCATCCGTTTGACAAATCTTACTAAACTGTGTGCAGACTGTTGGTTTCTTGCCTCTCAGGCAGAAGCACTCCGACTTCAAAGGAAGCTCCCAGTTAGTCGACTCTCACGACATGCTTTTTGAGTAGGCAGTGGGTCTATTCTTGTTTTCCCTCTAATAGGGCCCCGGAACCCACACGGAGATCTGGTTTGTTATGAGTGACCATATTCTAGCACTGGTTCTACTATATTTCTAATTCTTTCCATGAGTGCCGATCAATACACTTTCTGTTACTTGATTCATTCATAATATCTAGCACTGGTAGCATACAGTGGGAATGCACATGTTTTCTGTGGGATGTCTTTTTGTGCTGTCGGACTACACTACTGTGGATTACCTGGTAGTATGGGGCGCTGCCTTGGTTTGGAGGATAGTACTGTGGGTGTCCTTGGTTGTCATAGTAATACGGGGCTGGGCCCGGCTGTGATGAATAGTTGTATTCTGGGCTGGCGTTCTTGCTGTAGTCTGGTTTACTGGCGGCTGTTGATGAACATAGTATGTGTTTACTTTATTTTAATTTACAAGGTGAAAACATTGTTTTAAAATAATATATGTTCAATAACATTGTGGAAAGGATGCACACAAGCTGTCCACCTTCCACCACACATGTCTACGTAGAATTATCAAAATTTTCTGGCCAGATACAATCTCAAACATTAAACTACTTCAAGTCACAAACCAAGAAACTATAGACAGTATGATAACAAAGAGAAGATGGAAATGGCTTGGCCACGTTATGGGAATGAATTCTGATATACCTGCCAAAACAGCTCTCACATGGACACCAGGGGGAAAGACAAAACAGGGGCGCCCAAAAACAACATGGAGACGAACGATAGAAAGTGACCTGAGTGCGGCATCTTGCTAAAATCTTACAAAAAATTGCACAGGACAGAGAAGCATGGAAATTCCTCTCTGAAGCCTCATGTACCACAAGGCACAGCGAGAACTTATGAACATTGTGGAAGTCAAGGGAAAACCACTATATGTGATTCGTCATAGTTAGTTTACAAGTGTATCAGTCATAGAAAACCCCAAATTGAAATGGTTCGACCATTTTATATGGCTATGAGAAGACACCATACCTGACCAATCCATGATATACATACACACCAAGTGGAAATCCATAGAACTAGCTAAACGCCGACCGTGTAAGAAATTGCCATAGGGGTCATAGTTTATTTTCTTCCTCATCAGCTTCTTCCCTTCCACCTCAGTATCATCATCGTTATCATCCCTGAAAACGCTTGTATAAAAATTATACGTACGGCCACTTTAGATGTTTATACGACAAACAAACACCGTATGGTGCAAGGGGATTGAGCTGAGGGTCCTGTTCACGTTTCCGCGCCCATTTACACACTGTCTTACCAATCATTTATACTTTCTCAGACTCTTCTACGTCGGGGAGGTGTCACGTTGTCTTGCCTCCAATTACATCAGCGCTGATGACGGGTGTTATATACTACACGACCATATGGCTTTTAACGACCCCACAACATCTAGAACTGGCACTAACCCAAAACCCCCTACCCACAGCCAGAGCCTAGGTCACACGAGAGACTCTTTTCGAAGAAAGCAGTACAACGTGACATCTCTCTGACCTAAATCAGACTGAGAAAGTGTGTAGATGGGCCGGGAAACGAGAACAGGTCCAGCTGAGGTGACAGAATCCGTGCAAGAGACGATGGCATGGGATATTGGAACTAGGGAGTGATTAACGAGAAAACGCTTGAGGCTGGTGTATGGACAGTTGCCTAGTAGAGTTTGAGGAAGACACTTGTTTGATGTGATTTGATTTGATTCAAGTGCTCAATCCTCTTCTTTAGCGGCCAACAAAGAGTTCCTATACTAATGATGCCAGTAGCATTCTGATTAAACGTCCGTGTTGCCTTTCCTCTGAGCCTCGAGCGTCTATCAGAACCTTTCTTAATTCCCCGCTGCATCAATCTCACCAGACTATGGTGATCCATCTGCTCTTCCGAACTGTACACGCTATCACACAAGGCACTAACCACGTCTGCCTTATCACTATTCCACCAAGTTGGGCAGAGCCAGCCAGTCTGTCCGCCTGTTCATTTCCCAATACACCGGCGTCGCCCGGTAAAAAAATACAGACAATACTCCTCAACCGTGTCCTCCGCAGGAAGACACTTGTGATGTAGTTCAACTGCCGTGTTCTAAACGTTGTGTAAATGATGATAGGAACAGTTTGAAAGAGAGCAGCAATGGCTGTGATTAAACAAACTGTGACTGAATCGAGAGGAAAAATCGAGAGGAAAAAATTGGCATCAAAAAATAAGTGCCATTTTGCGTTATTTTTTGTAAACAGTTGGATTTGTTCCCAAGTCGGCTAGTTAATACAGTGACTTATGCCGTTTATGAGTCTATTCTCCCCGACGCCCAGAACACGTAGGGTGTTGGCGTTTTTCTAATTATTATTCCAAGTAATTTAAAAACGTTCAATTCAAAAGCTCTACTATTTTCCCTGTCAATGACTGAGTTGAGTTGAGTTGAGTTGAGTTGAGTCGACAACTGACATCACAGCACTCGGGGCATTCTCAAGCATACTCAGTCCTCATTCTCAGCAGCCAGCACAGAGTTCCAATACTGATGTTACCGGTCACAATATGGTTAAATGTCCGTCTTGCTTTTCCTCTGAGTTTAATGAACCGGCCAGACCCTCTGGCTACACCCAGATGTTTCATTCTTTCCAGGCCATTGTAACCTTCTTTCTCTACTGATTCTGTTGCTTGTTCCCAAAGAGCCTTGACCACACCTGCCTTGTCATGTATCAATCCACCACCTATTGGTGCATATCCAGCCAATCTGTCTGACTGTTCATTACCCACCACGCCGGCATAGCCTGGAGAAAAGATCCAAAGTATGTGTATATTTCTTTCCAGTAAAGCTTACCGCTCTGTTCAAAGCATCCCTGTCTTCATTTTTCTCAGCATGCTTTCAGAGTCTGTTACAATTACGATAGGTGTATGCATCTTGTTCTCTAGCCACCGGAGAGCTGCAATTACTGCCTCCACCTCCATTATCATGCTTTAAGTTGTGATGTCGTGTGCGAGGCTTTCTTGCACTAAAGATTTTCCATTGTCAATGCTTTAGTAAGAGTCTATGACTTACATCCACACACATCCGTATGCTGAGCCTATAATAAACTCCTGGTGGTTATTTTCCAGGAAACAGAAAAACACAGTTTTTCGAAAAACTTAACGAAACAAAGCCAACTTGACAAAGGAGAACCCGCTAGACCTGTTATTCCTGTCAACCGATAGAAAAAAGGGCACCCTTGATCCGTTAATAATAAACCCGGACTCTCAACCAAAATATTAACTCTATCAGTACTAACCAGTTCATCATACGTTGCTTTGTAATTCTAAAGATAAGATAATATTTCTATGATCTTCTAACACAGATACATGTTTTATAAAACTTTTATATCTGAAATATTAGGGAGCAGCTGTGTTGTAGCAGCAAGATGCTCAGCTACAGATCCGAAAGTCGTGTGTTCAATTCCCCATGGAGCCAGCGTTTTTCAAAAACGACTTTAAAGCCATGTAGATCCGGCCTTTAATGGGTACCAAGCAGTTCTTGGAAGTAAATGCCTGATGTTGATCACCCAGATGGGTACTATGAAATCTCATGGGAGTTAAAGGCAGCAGGCGTGATCTCTACGACGTCACCCACTCAGTACTGGTTTTGATTCTTTAGTAATAAGCCCCCCCCCCCACCACCACCTCCGCCCCAGATGACATCACGGGGACTGTCCAGTATATGTTAGGGTAGTGAGACCGGGTTTTCCGGCGTTGTATTGCTTTAAAATACTCTCAAATATCTAGAACTGGACCTAACCCTAACCCACCTACGTCCCGCTAGAGAGTGCAGCCTAGGTCCCACGATTGCATGCAACTTGTCTACCCCCCCCCCCCCCCCAGAAATATTAGACTGTTTGGGGTGAGAAAAAACGAAAGCACCCTGGTTTCTAAAGCCTAGGACCTGCAAATATGCACTATGGGCGCGGGGAGCAGTAAAAGATCTTGCACTTATTTTTAACTTATTACCAATTACCAAACTTAGCCTTAGGGCCTGGGAAAAGCCTTTTATTATTTAATTTCCTACCTGTTTTTACCTGCCAACCGACATTAAGGCGCACCTGAACATTGTCGTTGTATAACAAACCCGGATACTAGACCTGAATATTAAATCACTTCAAACATTACATCTTACATGTTCTTTTCAGGTATCTGAAATCGGCATAGGTCCGTAATTGAGTTCTTTTGTCATACGCTTTGTACCCTGTCTATGTATGCTATCGGGGATTAAACAACAAGTTAACAACTATTTGGTTTGATTAGGGGTTTTCTATCTGTGTTTGCCTGTGTGCGTGTATGTATGCGTATGTTCGTGTGTGTTTAATTCATCTTTTTATATTGCTATTTATGCATCACTTATGGTCCAAAGTCATATCTCAGAGTAGCTGCAGACAAGAAGCACATCCTGCATGAAGCCCTGGGTAGAGCAAAAGGTCACATTCCGAAAAGAGGAAGGTCTTGGATGGCACAAGCTAAAGACACAATTGGACATGTGTGCAGGCTTGAATAATTTGAGCGAGAAGAGAAGTGGGTCAGGGTGTCCGAACGAAAAACAAGTTTCAGACTCGTTTAGGGTTCTAATTACTTAAAGTTGTGAGTGCAGAGACTGGCCAGCTGGCACTGCAGAATCAAATGTTCAACAAATAATTCATGAAATTTCTCCCCCACCCCCAAGTGATGTGATTATACAGAAAGCTCTTTGTTGAGGGGTAGGTGAATTGACGTCACTTATTGCTTCAAAGCCTTGCTTTTGATATCACAACGTCTAGTTTGAGAATGGAGGTTGAGGCAGTATTTACTGCCTTCCTCTGGCTGGAGTATCAGCCGTACACACATGCCGTGATTGTAACTGACTCACAGAGCATGTTAAAAAGGTGAAGACATGCATGATTCGTGCAGAGTTGCAAGTATCACTTCAGAGGTCCTGGGTAGTAAGCATCCTAATTACTCACACATACACCCACATACTTACACAGCTACATATGCATACATACATCCACCAACATGCATACATACACACACACATAGATATATACACACATACATGCATAAATATACCCACATACATGCCCACACACATTACATACATACACACACATGCATGCATACACACATATACAGTCACCAATACAGAAGAGATTAGATAAAATAACATGTGCAGGAATATGCGAACGAGAAACTAAGTGTGGATCCGGCAAGGAGGGGCGGATGAAAGGAGAAGATCGACGTGTGTATAATCAGTGTGCTACTGGAACGGTTAGCACCTACACCTGAAGACATTTGCTGCGGGAGACGGAGAATCTATCGGTATGCCCGGTGTGCTATGACTTCGATTCTTAAATCTGTAATCAGTAATATAATCTCGCATCAACGTACGTAAATTAAAGGGTTTCTCTTGAACATTCTCTCTTCTCCTTCAATTTGTTTCCCATTTCTGTGACTGGTGATTCTGTGTGCCCTGAGCCTGAGCAATGTTACACAACCTAGCAATGTGTTGGTTCAAAGCTAGTTCTGTATCTTTTATAGGACGATGTAGTACCAACTCCAGCATTTGTTCGCTGTCTTAGTTTTACTAGGTCATCTTACGTTCAGTAGTGTGTCCCTGTTTTTAAACAGTCGGCTCCCGATACCCTTGTCGAAATCACCACAAGGTGGTCTGTTGCCAAATCGCCCGCAGCTGAAATTGAACCGGGTACCTCGAAAGTACGAAGCCGTTCCATAAAACATTGCTGATTTGACGCTGGACCTAATAATTTTAAGTTTAGCACTAGTTTTAATTTCTCTTGACCCCCAAAAGTTCCTAGTGCTATGAAAACTCCCCTTGTATTTTGCATTCGTATTTGAATGTCCCTATCAGTTCCACTATCTTTATCTACATGAAGGATTGCCAACAGTATAAATAATTATAGTAGCTATCGCACTCCACATTGCACTATTGAAATTAAGCGATTCAAGCAACACAGGAATTGCTATCTCCAAAATCGTGTGATTCAAGTATGGCAATCCAGGAAGAATCAGAAGTGTACACATCTGGATCCGGTAGGTGGGCTACGATTACGGGAGTGGGGTGAGGAATTGCATAGATAGATAGATTTTTGATTTAGGCGGAGACAGCTCTAGAAACATTGGGGTGGGGGGGGGGGGGGGGGGGGGGGGGGGGCTTTAGTGAACCTGTGCTTTATTTAATTGGGCAGTTATAATAATATAATTAATTATTATTATTACTTTAAATAACGCGGACACAAACGATACTTTGCACAATTTATTGCCAGGCATATTTCGCTTATCTCGTTACTACATAGTAACATAAACATTAAATGTACAGCAAAATATACCTGGAAATAAACTGTGCAATGTATCGTTTGTGTCCGCATTATTTAAAATTATTATGGGAAAACATTGTTTTGAATATTATTATTACTGTTATTACTTCGCTATAAAAAGGAAAATAAATAGTGTATTTAAAAATATGTCTTCTTCTTCTTTTTCTTCTTTTCTACCTAGAACCTCACCGAAGCGTCGTTGGGAGATGCAACATTCGTTGATGAGCTCTGTCAAGAGCGCTATTAAGACTGATGTTATTTCAATAAGGCTGTTTCCAATGCCATTACTTCATATTTTCCGAGATCTTCCATTCGCTCCATACCCATTGTAACGTTTTAGTGTGGCTCGCTGTGGCAGATAGTACCAGGGCATTGTTGTTCACTAGACAAGTTTTTGACCATTCTGCCTTCGATCTTATGCAGCATCTCTTCATCATCATGTAGCAGGTCCTTTGCAGAACGTCGCTCTCATCACAGTCTGCCTGAAAGAAACTCGGTCTCTCGCCAGTTCTCCTGCCTCATGCACTTTCAAACTCAAGGAGTCACTTATATCCTGTGCCCATCTTCGTGTTGGTCGGCCCCTGCCCCTCCTTCCTGGTACCATGTCTTCTGCTATAATTTTTTTCCAATCCGTTGTGGCGCTTGATATGACCAAAATATTTTAGCTTCCGTGAATTCCAACAATAGTATTTACCCCTGTCTCTCTTTTTACATAACAAAAGGGGTGTGGGGGTGCATAAACCATGCGTTTTTAGCTCGGTGATGGATATCGCAATTCTTAGGCTTGGTTCCATGACAAATTCCGTACATCTTGGAAATAGGTGGCTTTTCTGCCGACCCCCCCCCCCCCTTTTTCCCTCCCCACACCCCCCTTCCTTTGCGGTAAACTCTGACCACAAGGAGTTTATGTCTGTGTTTATTCAACAAATCAACATCATGCCACACGGCTGTAATACAAATGTGCTCCGTTCTTCTTCTAACTCAAGCCTGAGTCCGACGAATCTCAGTGCAGTGCACAAACTCTGTTGCACTGGCGAAAATTCTAAAATACCTAGGGTAGATATTTAACTCCAAATTGTTTCTTGTGGATTTTTTTTTTTTTTTAAGTGTGCAAGAATAAACGTGGACGCTTGGTCTAACTACCCAGAGAAAAGGGGGAAATTATTAGAAATCAACGTGAAAAAAAAATCCCAGCCTGCACCAGGATTTGAACCACGGACCTCTAGCACTCCAGGCCACGCAGCCCCACAAGGAGTTTGTCACCCGGTCATTGTCCATTTGGTGTAACCAATTTACCTAAATGATATGATAAAACCATAACCATATTTTAGATTAGAAAATCATATTATTAAAAGAATAGTTCCGGGTGTATAATTCTCTATTTAGGTGCCTACATATCAGTGGTGCGGAGTACGTGTTTGGCGATGAGGGACTCGTTCTATAATTTCTATAAGGGAACTGAAACAATTGTGAAGGTAGCAATGTTCAACAAACCAATCAGTTCACGAATTAATTAATTAATTAATTAATTGTACTGTTGTGGCGTTGTGTGTCACACAGGGCTCGAAGCATATTCCTCCATTCCGTTCTATCCACTTCGACATCGTAGATGGAATCCAGTCTGGCCTCTCTCATCTCCGTTCGTCTTAGGGTTTCTTTTGGACATTCTCGATTCCTCAAACCCTGTTTCCCAGTCTAGTACTAGTCGGTGATTCCTTCTTCGTCTCTTCCCAGAATGAGTCCAGTATAACACCATCTTCTCTTTCTTGAAATGCTGATGCTAATGGTTCCCTAGACATTTCTTTTTTATCTTCTTCCTTCCTATAACCAGTCTTTCTTGACGTTCAGATCTTTCAAGATGTCCATATTTCTCATCTTCTTTGTCCAAGATATTCTGAGAATTTTTCAATAGCATTTCAGCTCAAAAGCTCGTATTCTCTTTCTTAAGGACTGAGAGATAGTACACGAACTCACATCCGTATGAAGCCACAGAGAAGATGCATGCTCTCAAAATTCTAATTTTGATCTCCTTGCTGGTGCTTCACCATAAACTTTTAGGGCTGTTCAATCTTTGCATTGCTATGGCCATCCTCCTTTTTATTTCTATTGAACAGACTTCATTGTTGTTTATTATAGAGCCTAGATATTCAAAGTTTGTTACATTTTCAATTTCTTCATCATTTATTGTTATTTTTGGGTGGCAGCCAGTATTATCGGTAAAAATCATTTTCGTTTTCTTTAAATTCAAGAATACTTTGATCTTCACTGTGCTCTTGGAAGTCTACTACGTGGTAAAACTATAGGAAAATATATAAATATGCTCAAAAAGAGAACATGTATATGTGGCTGTGAAGATTGGATGGTGGTTGGGAAGGAGGAGCGTGGGAGCTGCTATCTAAAACCTATTATTAAAGGGGCTTTGCTGTCATCTCTGAACAAATACAAATTAGTTGCTCGTGATAAGGTCTTTGTGTGGTCATTGTTCAACATGACACTACACAGAGGACTTGGGAGCCACGGGAGAGTAGTGGCTAGACGATCTCCTGCAGACGCTCAGGTTTGAGTTTCAAACTCGTATCAAAAATTGACTTTTACACTCAGGTCAGCCAGGCTAAAATCAGGGTGAAAATATCGGAGTTTTCGCCTGGAATGTATCGGTTTTTAGGTAGGCCCGGACAGTTTCGTCGATTACTCAACCCTTCCAACGTTTTTATATTTTGCATTTTTATGTTATGTCTCAATGCGACGGTCTGGGTCTACCAAAAATTTGATTCTGTCCCGTCGAAAATAGGATGGTATTGTCAGCCTAGTACCAGGTAGTGTCATGGGAAGTAAAGCGGACCGGCAGATAATGACCACGTCACCCACCGAGTGCCGATTGCTCTAAGAAAATATACGTCTAGAATCATATACCCAAGGCACCATTGGCGGTTAAAAGGGCCCTCACGAGAACATCCGTTTGCTAAAGCTTGAAGCCATAGTCTGAACAAAAGGCAGTGATGACTGACTGACTGACTTTCTACCCCACCATGACATCACACAAGCGATAAACACCCGATGACACAAAGTGCCACCATGCGGATGAGGATCACCGTGGAGAGGTCCCAGAAACCGCGTTCAGACGATTGGCCATATTGATGGCCTGCCTATATTGCGGCCCCTGTCAAAAGCCAGAGTGGGCTTCAAAAAAGAAAAAATTACGCCCTGAAGAGGACGTAAGTAAGGAAAATAAAGGCAGTGATCCCGATGTTGCAATCTTGCACCCAGAGCTAACTCAGACGGGTGAAGAAACCAGGTTACAATTTTTACTTTGCAATATGTTAGAAGTTTTAGAACATCGATTTTTGGTCCATAGCACGAAGATTACATTCTTCGTCTTCGTTTTAAACGAGATCTGCTCGACGATTTTTATACTGGGAGTTGAAATTGTAGGTTATTTATCAAACTACTTCACTGATAAGCCCTGCTCAAAAACATGCGAATCGGTGACAATTTATCTGCACATAACTGCTAGTTAGCTAGTTCCGTGTCATACACAGGACGTTGCAGAGTCACTCAAGAATTTTCACTAATACTGCAGGTAGACAACAAATTAAATGGTTTGGCCATATATCAAGATTGGCAGCAGACAAGGCACCACAGAGAGCGAAGTTATACAGATACAGTGTTAACATATCCAGAGGTCGACCACGCAAAACATGGACCGCGGAAATATCGGAGACACTGAAAAACACTTGATACGAAGCGAACAGAAGGGCCCGCTCCAGAAGTTTATTCCTGCCCTGACGCCGTGGGGCATTCCAGGAGTAGAGAAAAGATACAGAAGAGGAAGTTTGCCATTCGCGATACCGCTGCCGAAAGAAACCTGAGACGGTCTGCTGCGAAAGCGCCTGCAGTTGGGATCGAACCAAATCGACTACGAGGAATGTAGACTTGGTCTCTCTGACGTGCACAGTAACAGGAAACGACCAGAGTCAACATGAGGAAACAAGAAGAATGCAGCCACTCAGTTTAGTAAAGAGCAAAAGATGAGTTGGTTTAGCCATTTAACAAGATTGCCCTGATACCAACTACCACGGACATCCAGGCTCAGGAAATACAACCAACACAGAGAAGATGAAAGGACGGCCCCAAGAATATCTTTATGTCATCATCATGTAGCAGGTGCTTTGCAGAACGTCGCTCCCATCACGGTCTGTTTGAGAGAAAATCGGTCTCTTACCAGCTCTTCCGCCTCGTGTACTTTCATGTTTAGGGTGTCATTCAAATCATGTGTGCATCTTCACGTTGGTCGGCCCCTGTCCCTCCTTCCTGGTACCTTGCCTTCTGCTATATTTTCTCTTCCAATCCGCCATGGCGTTTGATATTTAAAAAAAAATGTATTTCCTCTTTAGAGACAAGATGCTGTTTATTAGCCAATCTTCCTTAATGTTCAGATCTTTTAAAATGTCAGTATTTCTTCGCTTCTTTGTTTATGGTATTTTGAGAATCCTTCTAAAGCATTTCAGCTCAAAAGTGTCTTGGTTAAGGGAAGTCTGGTAGTCTGGTAGTCTTAGTTTCAGCTTCATAGCAAACGGGTCGCCCCATCTTTGCTCCGCTCCTGTGCCAGCGAAAAACACCCAGAATGTTTATCACAGTCCCTTGTGGAAAGATTGACAGACTGCTGTCTCAGCATATCTAGCATACACTCGCATTAACGCATATGGTAGCCATCCGAAGTGCTAACACAAACAGTCCAACATTAGAAATGTAGTTCATCATTGATGATAGCAGAACTTGTCGCCAACAGATCAGCAGTTGCCCGGGCGATCAATTTTAATACGGGTCCCGCCAGCATTGCACGACCGGCATCGCGCCATTTTCTGAATCTACAATTCACACCACGTTGGTCACAGTCGAAAAAACATTCCAAATGCAATCCGCAGCTCACAGGGTCACGCCACGCATTCAACACAGAAGCTGGGCGACGAAACTATATCTAGTCTACAAATGGAGCAAAAATACTCCGGCCACCGTCCGGCAGAAGCAAAAAATTTGCCTCCGCTCCGAACAGCGCCGCTGTCTAGCGTCCATTTTAACCGGTTAAGGGGAAAAAGCCTTAAGTCAGAACCTTATATATCTACCCCTCCCCCCACCCCCCCCCCCCCCCCCCACCCCGCTGTGATGAAATAACCGGAGAAAGTAAAGAAGAAGAAGAAGTGAAAGTGGAGGAAGACCTGCACTGGGCTAGTGAGTCGTTACCGGCGCCCTAATTATAACCTTTTTTCGGTTTAAAAGGATATAGGGATCAACATTTTTGATATACCATTCAAACTGAGATATCTTTCTTTAACTTTAAGGTTGGCAAACCATGTGGAAGCAGCCTGGAGGTGACAGCCCAGTCAATTACATAATACATTTTGTTTTGTTTAACCATCACTGGTGCTCTATGGAAACTTTTTGGGAGTTTAAACAAGACCATAGATGTACTCTGTTGGTTTTCTCATGGTGGATGAGACTCTCAAAGACACGCCATGATGTCAGACTGTCCAATATTTGTTCTCACGGCCTCCCTCTGCCTCTCCTCCCCTTTAACGTTGCTACTGTCACGACGAACTCCAGTTTTCTCCTTCTCTTCACATGACCAAAGAATGTAGATTATCTCTTTCGGATGTACTATATATATATATATATGTGTGTTTGTGTGTGTCTCTAATGAATATGATTATTCTTTAGAAACACACACACACATACACAAACACACAAAGAGAGAGAGAGAGAGAGAGAGAGAGAGAGAGAGAGAGAGAGAGAGAAAGAGAGAGAGAGAGACAGAGAGAGAGAAAAGCAGACAAACATATACACAAACAATAGCACACATATAATTAATAAATTCTACAATTATTTTATCGAATACTCACTATTGTTCCCTTCCATCTTTATTGACCTTTGCTGAATTTGTATTTTTCGTACTGAACAAAGTTGCCACAGCACTATCGTTTCTCGTTTCTACCAACACGATAAAAACAAGTTTTGACTTAAATACGAGACTGTCTATTCCGCCCTTAACATATCCTCATCCGGGAGTTTTCTTTACTATTCACAAAGAGGGATAAAAATAACCTTGGAAAGTGTTTCGATTCTGTCAGTTTCCTTCTTCGTCTTCTGATATCACAAAAAACAGTGGCCTGGTTGTAGGGAGAGACGGTGGGTGACAGGTACATTTCACGTCAGAGTCGCAGAGGGTATTTGGTTAGCAGTGCCGTGGGTGGGGAAAACAAAAAATCTGGTAAATGTTACGCTGGTCTCCCCATTTTCACACAGCTACACACTAGCTCGCTTCTGTCTGGAAGACCTGCTGATCTCCTCACTGCTCATAGGTCGGCCTCGAGCAATCCGGCTTCACACAAGGTCACGGGGATATCTAACACTCGCGCTCATATCGCGTTTTGTATATTTCACCATGAGACACCCACCCCCGCCTATCATTGATTGGTCTGTGTCCTGAGCTGTTCATGGTGATATGGTAGTATCAGTTTTTAGTCTTTATTATGAAGCTGTCATCGCTCTTGTTCCGCCCTTAAGTCCTCGGTTGGATCGCGATCTTGGCCAAAACTTGTCAAAATTGTCGGTCTGTCATCTTCATCCATATCGCCATACGGGATGTTCCTGGCCGTCATTCTGTTGTTTGCTACGAATGTTTTCTTCTGGACCAAGTTATTCTTCAGTACTTGGATAATTGCCGCTGGATATATCTGTACATTGCTAGTCGTCGCGGGTCCTCGTGCTATTGCTCTAAAGTCTGCTTGGAGCCTTTCAGTTGTTATACAGCTTTTAATGGGAGCAGCTGGCCACCGGATTAAGACAACAAAAGTAAAAAAAAAGACTTACCTTCCGAACGTGAACTAACACCCAGAATTTTTCGCTGGCAAAGGCGAAGAGGAAGCATAATCTTCGTTAATGTTGGAGATTTTATAGAAATTCTAACCTGCACAGTTCGGGGCGGCAGCACTGGCCACGAGGCCGTCGCCCCTCAGGCTCAAATACCTCCCGCCCCCTGCCTACACTGTGAAGAAGCTCAGTAATGGCGGTATATTTTCTCTGATGTTATCTTTCCATTTTGTTCTTGGTCTACCTTGCCGTCTACGTCCTTCGCCTCTTTTGGTGTATGCCTTGTATGGTTTGGGGTTGCACGGCCTTCTCTCTATGTGGGCAAAATATTTGAGTTCGTGCTGGCGTATGTAATTGAAAATCCTGTAGTCGCCCACTTTATTGTTGCAATATCTTCTTCTGCCTTTCTAGTCCTAAATGGAGCATAGGCCCTCAATCATCTTATGCCAAGTCGTTTTATCCTCTGCTGTCGCATGCAGTTATGTCGCACTATATCCTCCCTATTTTTCCATCTTGATTTTCTAGCTCCCTTTTCCGTGTTTTTTAGGGGAGGAGGGGGAGGGGGCTCCTTTTTCCTATGCCTCTAGGTTCCAGTGCAAAGACATTCTAGCTTTATGGTTCTCCGGCTTTCTCAATGTGTGTCGTATCCAACGCCAGCGTCTTTTCTTCACCTCTTTGTCCACTGGAGCTTGCTTAGTTCTCTCCCTAAGCTCTACACTAGTGATTCTATCATACCATTTAATTCCCTCTATTCTTTTGTTGCAATATGCGAGATGAAAAAAGGGAGGTGGTGGTGGGGGGGGGGGGGAGAGGAATGGGTATTTTGTTTTCAATTCTGCATGTTTAGTATAGTCAGCATCGATTCCTGCCTCCATCCCACCCTCCTCCCCCCAACCGAAAGATAGAAAAAAAGGGGGGTGAAACTTTAGGACCCTTTTATGCTTGTGGCTCCTTATGTTGTGCATGTCCTACATTAAAAAAAGAACACAACCCCCACTCGATGAGTGGTAGTGTCAAAATAACACCGGTCACCTTTACTTTCCAGATAATTACCTGGTGCCCATTACATGATAGGTCTGAGTCTGCAGAGGCCCAGCACAGTGCACAGGCTCTGTAGCACCGGCGATAATCCTGAAATACTATGGGTAGATTTTTAACTCCACATTTTTGCCCGGGCAGCGCCGTAAGGCAACAATGCAAGCAGAGACTATGGGGAATTACTAGAAGTCCAAGTTGGCGTGCAAAAATCCTAGCCCTTTGTGGGGATTGAACCCGAAACCTCTAGCACTTGAGACAGACACCATGCCTCGAGACCACGCAACATCCCTTCCTAGAGTCATAGCTGTTTAAGCAAGGTCGGGTTGTTTAGAAACAGTTAACATCCATGCAACCATTCAGTTCAGTTACCTAATGAACAAACAATCATCCATCACCCAAGATAACAAACATCCATCTTTACAACCAACGTCCATACATCATCCCAATA